GCCTTACAACAAAGCATTCAGTGCCATGCTCATGAGACTGCAGGTGACTCTGGTCTGGCTGGACAGCTGTGTTTCAGGCTGAGGTCAGTAGGCTTGGACAGCTGTGTTTCAGGCTGAGGGTCAGCAGGCTTGGACAGCTGTGTTTCAGGCTGAGGGTCAGCAGGCTTGGACAGCTGTGTTTCAGGCTGAGGGTCAGCAGGCTTGGCTTCAGGTTGAGTTCAGGTCTGTTTCAAGTATCTTTCACCTTCCGTAATCCAACAACTACTCAGGGCATAAACTTGTGAGGAGGGCTGATGACATGCTCAACACCTCTTAAGGCCAGTCTCCAGATCTGCACACTATGGCTTCTACCACCTTAAAAAATAAGTTTGGTTGGCCGGGCGCGGTGGCTCACACCTGTAATCCCAGCATGTTGGGAGGCTGAGGCAGGCAGAACATGAAGTCAAGAGATCAAGACCATACTGGCCAACATGGTGAAACCCCAACTCAACTAAAAAAATATATATTATATATATACACAAAAATTAGCTGGGTGTGGTGGCATGCTCCTGTAGTACCAGCTACATGGGAGGCTGAAGCAGAAGAATTGCTTGAACCCAGGAGGCATAGGTTGCAGTGAGCCGAGATTGTGCCACTGCACTCCAGCCTAGTGACAGAGCAAGACTCTGTCTCAAAGTAATAATAGGCCGGGCGCAGTGGCTCAAGCCTGTAATCCCAGCACTTTGGGAGGCCAAGATGGGCGGATCACGAGGTCAGGAGATCGAGACCATCCTGGCTAACATGGTGAAACCCTGTCTCTACTAAAAAATACAAAAAACTAGCCGGGCAAGGTGGCGGGCGCCTGTAGTCCCAGCTACTCGGGAGGCTGAGGCAGGAGAATGGCGTGAACCCAGGAGGCAGAGCTTGCAGTGAGCCGAGATCCGGCCACTGCACTCCAGCCTGGGTGACAGAGCAAGACTCCGTCTCAAAAAAAAAAAAAAAAAAAGTAATAATAACAATAATAATAATAATAATAATGTTTGAAGACAACCAACATCAGTGGGACAGGAATCCTGCTCCCCCCATTTCGTGCACTGCAAGGTCACATGGCAATAGGGAATGAGGAATTGAAAACAACATCCAATCTACCATAGCTAGCTGCGTTCCTTCCTGTTACACTGCCTGTCTTTTTTGTCTCTGTGTCCAGCCATTACATCACCCAGTCTCAGATGCCCTCCTGGCCACCTGTCCTATGGCAGAGTGCAAAGATCACTGGATTCAGATATTCGACATGGGAAAAGCTCCATTTCTGGTCCTTCCTCCTAGGTGTGTGATCTTGTAAAAGTCATGTTACATCTGTGTCTATTCCATCTGCTAAAATTTACCTCATGAGATTGCCAGAAAGATTACGTGAGCTGACACAGAAGGAAAAATTTTGTCCTCTGTATTTTCATTAAGACCCAGTGCAAGCCTTCCCTCTTAAAAAAGCTTTAAATAAATACCATTTCTCCCCAGGACTCTTAGTTGACATCCAGTGGCTTCTAGATATAAGAGAAATTCCTGGCTGGGTGCGGTGGCTAACACCTATAATCCCAGCACTTTGGAAGGCCGATGTGGGAAGATCATGAGATCAAGAGATTGAGACCATCCTGGCCAACATGGTGAAACCCCGTCTCTACTAAAACTACAAAAATTAGCCAGGTGTGGTGGCAGGAGCCTGTGTTCCCAGCTACTAGGGAGGCTGAGACAGGAGAATCACTTGAACTCGGGAGGCGGAGGTTGCAGAGAGCCGATATCATACCACTGCACTCTGGCTTGGGCAACAGAGTGAGACTTCTTCTCAAAAAAAAAAGACAGAGAGAGAAATTCCTGGAGAATTCTTTTTTGAAAACTTAAATTTGGCCAGGTACAGTGGCTCACACCTGTAATCCCAGTACTTTGGGAGGCTGAAGTAGGTGGATCACATGAGGCCAGGAGTTTGAGACCAGCCTTACCAACATGGTGAAACCCCATCTCTACTAAAATACAAAAATTACCTGGGCTAGGTGGTGCACACCTGTACTCCTCACTATTTGGGAGGCTGAGATATGAGAATTACTTGAGCCTGGGAGGTGGAAGTTGCAGTGGGCAAAGATTGTGCCACTGCACTCCAGACTGGGTGACAGAGCAAGACTCTGTCTCAAAAAACAAAAAACAAAAAAAAAAAACAAAAAAAACCCAACCTTTTATTTTTAGAGACAGGGTCTTGCTCTGTTACCCAGGCTGGAGCACAGTGGTGTAATCATAGCTTCCTGTAACTTCTAATTCCCAGGTTCAAGTAATCCTCCTGCCTCAGCCTCCTGAGTAGCACCTGCACGACTATACTGACTTATTCTTTTTTTTTTTTTTTTTTTTTTTGACATGGAGTCTCGCTCTGTTGCCCAGGCTGGAGTACAGTGGTGCAATCCTGGCTCACTGCAAGCTCCACCTCCCGGGTTCATGCCATTCTCCTGCCTCAGCCTCCCAAGTAGCTGGGAATACAGGCGCCTGCCACCGCACCCGGCTAATTTTTTGTATTTTTAGTAAAGAAGGAGTTTCACTGTGTTAGCCAGGATGGTCTCGATCTCCTGACATGATCCTTCCACCTCGGCCTCCCAAAATGCTGGGATTACAGGCATGAGCCACCACGCCCAGCCCTATTCTTTTTTTTATTTTGTAGACATGGAATCTCACTATGTTGCCCAGTCTGGTCTCAAACTCTTGGCTTCAAGTTATCCTCCCACCTCATCCTCCCAAAGTGCTGGGATTACAGGTATGAGTCACTACACCTGGCCCTGGGGAAAATTCTTTAGAAATACTGAGTCTATCCTCCAACCCTGCTGCTCTCAATTTACTCAGTGGGTATTGTTTCAGATTTCCCCCGTGATCCTAATGTACTGGTCTCTACATTACTTTGCTCTTACTTGAATAGGTCACTATTTCATGCATTAAAGACTTGGATGGGAGTCCTAATTTTTATTTTCTGCAACTTGAGAATGTACTTTTCTAAGCCTCACTTTCCTCATTGGTGAAGCAGGAATTTTCTCATGTCCACAGTTTCAGGGACGTTTCAATGAGATAACACAGTTAGGGCATTTGCCACAGTGCCTGGCAAGGCAGCTGGTTTTACTATTACTCTGTCTTATATGGACTTTGTGAAGTAGCTCCAGCACAGGACTGAGTCCATCACAGCTGATTTACTGCAGAAATGCACTTTGGCTTGTGGATGGAAGTTGGTGTACTGATTGTGCTGGGTGCGATGGCTCACACCTGTAATCCCGGCACTTTGGGAGGCCGAGGCGGGCGGATCACGAAGTCAGGAGATCGAGACCATCCTGGCTAACACAGTGAAACTCCATCTGTATTAAAAATACAAAAAATCAGCCAGGCGTGGTGGCGGGTGCCTGTAGTCCCAGCTACTCGGGAGGCTGAGGCAGGAGAATGGTGTGAACCCGGGAGGCAGAGCTTGCAGTGAGCCGAGATGGCGCCGCCACTGCACTCCAGTCTGGGTGACAAAGCGAGACTCTGTCTCAAAAAAAAAAAAAAGTACTGATTGCTACTCACAACATTCTTCTCTTCCCATGGCGTGAATGAGAACATGTGCACATCCCTGCTTTCCACACAAACACAGGCTCTCAAGCACACGAGAAGCACGCCAGGTGTCAGGACCTTTCTATGTAGTTGGTTGTAGGCAGATGTCCAGTCTAGTGATGGCAACAAGAACTTCACAGGGAGGAGGGAGGCCTTCCCCACAGCCATGAGGGTGCTGCAGGGAGGTAAGATAAATGCCTGCATCTTAACGACCTCAGATCATTCTTACACTGTGGTAACACAGGTATGTCAAATGTTTGTCTGTACACTGTTTATCCTGTGTGGCAGCAAATACATTTACCAAGTCACTGCAGATGAAGATTTCACAAGAGGAGTTGACAAGCGCGGTTTAAAACGTCTGTTTAGGGCAGGACATGGTGGCTCATGCCTCTAATCCTAGCACAATGGGAGGCCAAGGCAGGTGGATCTCTTGAGCTCAGGAGTTCAATGCCAGCCTGCGCAACATAGCGAAACCCCATCTCTACCAAAAAATACAAAAGTTAGTTGGGGTTGGTGGCACACACCTGAGGTTTCAGCTACTCGGGAGGCTAAGGTGGGAGAATTGCTAGAGCCCAGGAAGTTGAGGCTGCAGTGAGCTGTGACTGCACCACTGCACTCCAGCCTAGATGACAGAGTTAGACCCAATCTCAAAAAATAAAAATAGTCTGGATGCGGTGGCTCACGCCTGTAATCCCAGCACTTTGGGAGGCTGAGGCAGGCAGATCACAAGGTCAGGAGTTTGAGACCAGCCTGGCCAACGTAGTGAAACTCTGTCTCTACTAAAAATACAAAAATTAGCCGGGTATGGTGGCACGCGCCTATAGTCCCAGCTATTGAGGAGGCTGAGGTAGGAGAATTGCTTGAACCTGGGAGGCAGAGGTTGCAGTGAACCGAGACCGCACCATCGCACTCCAGCCTGGGCAACAGAGTGAGACTCCATCTAAAAACATAATAATAAAATAAAAACACTCAACCCCCTTGCATCAGTGGTTGTAAGAACCTACTAAGGATAAGACCCATCACTGACAATGAAAGGGGCCTTAGGACTTATTTACTTTTTTTTTTTCTGAGACAGTCTTGCTCTGTCACCCAGGCTAGAGTGCAGTGGCACAATCTTGGCTCACTGCAACCTCCGCCTCCTGGGTTCAAGCAATTTTCCTTTCTCAGCCTCCCAAGTAGCTGGGATTATAGGCATGTGCCACCATGCCCAGCTAATTTTTGTATTTTTAGTAGAGATGGGGTTTCACCATATTGATCAGGCTGGTCTCAAACTTCTGACCTCAGGTGATCCACCTGCCTTGGCTTCCCGAAGTGCTGGGATTACAGGCGTGAGCCACGGCACCCAGCCAGACTTAGCACTTTGAAGTGGAGGCCGATCATGGTGATGGAGAAGGAAATCAGGGACAGATCTATACCATTTGTTTGCTACTTACTGCATGTAAACAGAATGAAATCAACACATTAAGTATTTACCTTCATTTCATCCACCATCTCCTGCAGACAACCAGGTTTCTCCCAAATTTATGTGCCTGGAAATGGCTTGAACCAAATGGTTCATGAGGAAAACCTATGATATTTTTCATGAAATTGCCACATCTGGGCATCAGGAAAGCCTTCCCAGAGAATGTCTCAAATCGGTCAAGATTTTCTCCTTTTTTAGACAGGTAAGTGTCCCCAAGCATTCAATCCTAGCTAAAATACGGAAGTATTTATCTAGCACAGGAGCCTATGGCATAGTTTCAGTCTGCTGTCTTGCAGACCTCATCTGGGTTGTCTTTGTATGAGTTGACTGGCCAGTAAATGGGGTATAAACTATGTAGGCTGTGGCCTGGCCTTGTGACAGAGGGGTCCCTGGAACTTGACTGCCACTCCCTAAGAGCAGAAACCCCATTTTTCTTGTACACTGCTGGATCCTATCATCCTGCACAGTGCCGGGCTATACTGGTGGCCAGCAATAAAACGCAAGATTGGGGCAGGCACAGTGGCTCACGCCTGTAATCCCAGGACTTTGGGAGGCTGAGATGGAAGGATCACTTGAGGTCAGGAGTTCAGGACCAGCCTGGGCAACATAGTGAGTCTATCTCTACAAAAAAAATTATTTAGAAAATTAATAAAACACAAGATGATTGGTTTGTGTGGTTAGACAGTATTGAATCCAACAAACGGGAACTGGATAGTGTCGTCCAAGATGCAATGGTGACTGCACCATGAGCCCCTTATCCATATCATATTTAGTGGATGAGGTGCCAGGCACTGTTCTGGGTGCTGAGAATAAAGCTGTGCATAAGACTAAGGTTCTGTCGACAGAGACCGTGTTACACCAGTGGAAAAGACAGTCATCAAACTTATGTCCTTGAGACAGTGATGAGTTCTAGAAGGAAAGAAAAGACTGATGTGACGGTGAGGAAGGGGTGAGTGATTCCTCTTCCTCTGAGCTGAGCCAAGCTGAGAAGCTGCGAGGAGTAAGATAGGGCCGGGAACTCAGGTCCGTTAGTCCGTCCTCCGAGGTGGGGCGGGACAGCAGAATGGATTTCCGATCTGCTCTGTGAGAGCCTCGCCCAAGAAAGGCCGGAGCCACTTCCAAGAGCCACGCTCCCACGGGGGTGAGAAGCGTTTTCCCCCGAGACTGCTTGTGGCTTAGGACTGGGGACCCACTGGATTTGGAGTAAGCCCTGGCACAGGCCTCGAGGGAAGAAAGAACTCCCGCGCTCCCCACCCTCCACAGGATCTGCGATCATCTCAGACGTTCCGGTTCCACGTGCAGAAACCCTGCCGGTCCAAGGCCCGGGTTCCAAAACTGCCCTAAGAGTCAAAGTTGCCATAGCTCGCCTCTGAGGCTGGCAAAAAGGCCCTGGGGGCGGTGCCTCCCGAGACCCAAACAAGCTCACGTGGCAGGGGCGGGGCTCCGCGAGGGCGTCACGGCGTGCTCGTGCGCGGCTGAGGTCACGCGCTAGCCGTACCCTTGCCCGGGGGCCGTAAAGCGCGGAAGGTCGCGGTCTCGGCTTCCCCGGAACTTTTTGCTCGCTTCGCCCCGCCCTCTTTCCATCCCCGAACCCCGCTTTCCGGCCCGCGGCGACCCCCGGCAACCGTTGTGGCTGCCACATTGCTCCCGCCGGGTTGTAGCTGAGGGCGGAGCCCGTGGGGGCCCGTGAGGTAAGGAGATAGCTGCGGGGCCACTCTGGCCTCCCCGTCCGCGCGGGCCTGAGCGCCCCGGGACCCCTGGGTTCCCCTCTTTCTCCTTTGGTTTCGCCCGGGGGTGGTCTCCGCAAGCCCTCGCTTCCAGTAGTTTCCGCATGGCCTCGCGAAGGTGCGTCCAGGCGCCAGTACTTGGTCCCCGGAATGTCCGCTCGTGTCCTCGGCTACCTCTGGGCCTGCGCACCGCTCCTCCAGGCGCCTGCACCTCAGCCCGGATGCCAGGGCGGGCGGGGTGACCTCGGGCTCCCCCCTCTCGGGCTTGTACACCCCTGCGGCGCAGAGCCAACTCTATCTCGCCTAGCCCGGTCGCATTCTTGCAGGTGGAACTGTTTTCCCGCGTTGAGACGTGCGGTCCGCTTGTGCTTTATAACTAGTAAGACTGCTGCAGAGTCCTGAGGAAGAAGTCACCTAGAAAAGTCTGGGCCAGGGCAGTGAGCTTTCTTCTTAATGTTTGACCTTTGGGGGCCGATGTGTGATACCTCGAATTTGAAACAAGAATCTCCAAGCCCGTGTGTCGCATGCATATAAACATGATGTATGGGGTTGGGGGCTGGTGGTGGAGGAGGAGCCAGCCCGACGGGTATGCTTTTCCAGTGACAGGGACTTGTGTTAATTTCTTTTTTCTTGTTTTCTGAGACGGAGCCTCTTTCGCCCAGGCTGGAGTGCAGTGGCGCGATCTCGGCTCACTGCAACCTCCGCCTCCTGGATTCAAGCAGTTCTCCTGCCTCAGCCTCCCAAGTAGCTGAAATTACAGGTGCGCGCCACCTCGTCCCTAATGTTTGTATTTTTAGTAGAGACGGGGTTTCACTATGTTGGCCAGGCTGGTCTCGAACTCCTGACCTCGTGATTCGCCCGCCTCAGCCTCCCAAAGGGCTAGGATTACAAGCATGAGCCACCGCGCCCGTCCAACTTGTGTTCATTTCTTAAACTCGCGTGATCACCTGGTGTACTTGTTGAAAAATACAGCTCCCTGGTGTGGCAGGATCAGACTCTGCAGAGGTGGACCCGGGGAATTTGTCGTTTTTAAACAAGTGTCCCAGGTGGTTCTTTTGCTTAAGCGAGTGTGGATAATGTTGTGTGAACCCACCCATGCTCATCCAGTCTTCCTTGTGACGGGCGGTCCACTGTGTGCAACGCTGAAGCCATACAGAGGGACAACTCGAAGTTAGAACTAGCACCTTGGTCCTGTTGGAATAAGCAGATCTCAGTAGAGCCAGCCGCAGTCTTACGGTTGTTTAGCAGAAGTTATTCTTCTTAGCAGAGAATATTATATGGTCATTTTCCAGAACCTTAAAAAATATATGATTTGTTTTAAACCAGATGATGTGCTTCATTTCTGTCTTTGACGTCTTCAGTTTCTTCTCCCTTGGCTTTACCTCCTTTGCTATCAAGCTTTGCTTTGGTTTTGCGCCAACCCTATAGGCTTAGGTTTGACAGCAAAAGCGCTAGACTCTGGTGCCTTCCTTTCCTTCGTTGTCTTAAGCCCTTCTTTTCCTCTGCCCTCATGCCCTCACCACTTCACTCTTTTGAAGGTCATAATGAACACAAGGTCAGAAATCCCTTTTTTGGCGCCAAGCTCCCTGGGCTTTTATTGAGAAGAAGTCTCACTGTGTTGCCCAGGCTGGAGTGCAGTGGCGCGACTGTGCCCACTGCAGCCTCCACATCCCTGGTTGAAGCAATGCTCCTGTCTCAGCCTCCTGAGTAGCTGGAACTACAGGTGCAAGCCACGACACCCGGCTAATTTTTCTGTTTTTAGTAGAGTTGGGGTTTCACCATGCTGATCAGGCTGGTGTTGAACTCCTGACCTCAAGTGATCCACCTGCCTTGGCCTCCCAAAGTGGTGGGATTACAGGCGTGAGCCACTGCACCTGGCCTTTTTTTTGTTTTAAGACAGTGTCTCACTCTGTCACCCAGGCATGAGTGCAGTAGCATAATCTCGGCTCACTGCAACCTCTGTCTCCCAGGCTCAGGCGATCCTCCTACCTCAGGAGTTCAGGACCAGCCTGGGCAACATAGTGAGCCTATCTCCACAAAACAAAAATATTTTAAAAATTAATAAAACACGAGATTGGCTTATGTAGTGAGACAGTATTGAATTCAACAAACGGGAACTGGATAGTCTGGCCCAAGATGCAATGGTGGCCGCACCATGAGTACCTGGGACCACAGGCACCCGCCACCACACCCAGCTATTTTTTTGTATTTTTGGTAGAGATGGGGTTTCACCATGTTTGCCAGGCTGGTCTCCAACTTCCAACCTCAAATGATCCACCCACCTCGGCCTCCCAAAGTGCTGGGATTACAGGTGTGAGACACCGTGCCCAGCCTGAAGTTTTTTTAAATTCCACCTTAAAACTCATCTGTTAACTGTGTTTGTTCTGCCACCTTTGCAGTTCCCTTTTTCCTGTTAGGGGGATGTGCCTAATAGTTCAGTCCTCACAGCTGTCCTTTCCTTATCATGTGCTTTTATTTGAAAGGTAGCGTGGAGTCATGATTAAATAGCAGGCCACTAGTGCCAAATTAACAGGGTTCTGCTGCTCAACAATTTGGTAGGACTTTGGGTGAGTCACTTTCACTTACCTGTACCTGTTTCCTCAAGTGTAGAGTAGAAATGCTAATATCTACCTCATAAGGTTGTGAGGATTAAATTAGTTATATACATAGGCAGTATCTGGTGCATTGTAACTACTTATAAAAATATTAGCTTTAAAAATAATTCTTGGCCGGTCACAGTAGGTCATACCTGTAATCCCAGCACTTTGGGTGGCCAAGGTGGGTAGATCACCTGAGGTCAGGAGTTCAAGACCAGCCTGGCCAACATGGTGAAACTCCATCTCTACTAAAAATACAAAAAATTAGTTGGGCACAGTGGCGTGCACCTGTAATCCCAGTTACTCGGGAGGCTGAGGCAGGAGAAACACTTGAACCTGGGAGGCAGAGGTTGCAGTAAGCCAAGATCACACCACTGTACTTCAGCCTGGGTGACAGAGTTGAGACTCTGTCTCACAATAAATAAAAATAAAAATAATTTTCTCGGGTATTTAGATGTCTCCTCAAATCTGGGGACCTACCCTTGATTTTTCCCCCATCTTCTTTGTTCTCTGTTCTCATTCATGCATCAATATGTATTTCCTAGATACCTATGCTGAATGCTAGGAAAATTGAGCAATATATAAGGTTTCTGCTCTTAGTTCCATTATAATAAGGAAATAATAGGCCGGGTGTGGTGGCTCAGCCTGTAATTCCAACCTGTAAATCCCGCTTTGGGAGACCAAGGCGGGCAGATCACTTGAGGTCAGGAGCTCAAGACCATCCTGTGCAACATAGTAAGACCTCTCTTCTACAAATATTCATAATTTTAAAATTAGCTGAGCGTGATGGTGCACACCTGTGGTCCCAGCTATTCTGGAGGCTGAGGTGGGAGGATCGCTTGAGTCTGGGTGGTTGAGACTGCAGTGAGCCATGATCATGCCGCTGTACTCCAGCGTGGGTGACAGACCTCGTCTCAAAAAATAATGAAAAATAACCACTGCTTACTGAGTGCTTCTTAGGTGCTTGTACCATGTTCTTCCTGCCTTGTCTGATTTAGTCTTTGCAGCAACCACATGAGGTAGGTGTTACTAGCCCATATTACAGATGAGGAGCTCAAAGCATAGAGATCTGGTAACTTGCTGAAAGTCATACAGCTAGTGAGAGGTGGGGATATTTTCAAACCCATACCTGTCCGCCCCCAAAGCCTGGATTCCCTGCTGTGCTGACGTGTTGCTTCTCTGATTGGCAAACAGACCATTGTGCAGCGTGGTAAGTTCTGTGCTGGGAGAAGTGCAGTGTGCTATAGGAGAACATAGAAGAGCCACCTAACCAAGTTTTGGAGAAGGAGGGGGAGAGTGTCAGATAAGATGTCAAAGAGGGGGCTTGGCGTGGTGGCTGATGCCTGTAATCCCAGCACTTCGGGAGGCCGAGGCGGGCGGATCACAAGGTCAGAAGAGCAAGACCATCCTGGCTAACACACCTCTACTAAAAAATAGAAAAAAATAGCCAGGCGTGGTGGTGGGCACCTATAGTCCCAGCTACTTGGGAAGCTGAGGCAGGAGAATTACTTGAACCCAGGAAGCGGATCTTGCAGTGAGCTGAGATCACACCTCTGCACTCCAGCCTGGGTGACAGAGCGAGACTCCATCTCAAAAAAAAAAAAAAGATGTCAAAGAGGCTGTGACCTGAGGAGATTACCTGTATTTGTGGAAGGGGTGGCAGGAACCATGCCAGGAGGGATCAGCATGCACAGAACCTGGAGCTGAATAGAACATTCACGCCTCACCTGATGTGTTTGAGGAATTACAGGTTGTTCAGTCTGGCTTGGTCAGAGGGTGGGGAGAGGAGAAGTGAGACCACAGATAAGAACCAGACTGTGAAGGATCTTGCACTTGATATGAAAACAGTTTTGCCTTTTTCCTGAGGGCATCAGAAAGTCATTAAGGCTGGGCGTGGTGGCTCACGCTTGTAATCCCAGCACTTTGGGAGGTGGAGGTGGGTGGATCACCTGAGGTCATGAGTTCGAGACCAGCCTGATCAACATGGTGAAACCCCGTCTCTACTAAAAATACAAAAATTAGCTGGGCGTGGTGGCGTGCGCCTGTAGTCCCAGCTGCTCAGGAGGCTGAGGCAGGAGAATTGCTTGAACCCGGAACATGGAGGTTGCGGTGGGCCAAGATCACACCACTGCACTCCCAACTGGGTGACAGAGCGAGACTCTGTCTCAAAAAAAAAAAAAAAAAAAAAAAAGTGCTGAGGAAAAGGAGCAAAAGGGAGGGAAGTGCTGAGGAAAAGGAGCAAAAAGGGAGGGAAACGTTGCAGGTAGATGAAAGAGACAGAGCAGTTGATGGAGCTAGGGTCAAGAGAAGAGAGGAGGAAGTGGGATCCAGGGCACTTGGGGGAGGTTAACTTTCCGGTGGATAAAAGAAGGAAGGAAGAGATGGTTGCAGATGCAAGTGGATCTATAGGAAGGGTTTCAGGGAATGAGATGAGACAGGTTATGTGCTTAGAATGAGGAAAGAAAGGAGGTGAAGTTGAAGGTTGAGAGAGGAGCAGCTGGGCTCTGAACCTGAATACAGACAGAGGTCTGCCTGTGGCTTAACATGTGCTAGCCTAAGCCACCAAGGAGCAGGACAGTTTTCAAGTCTAACCAAGTGGTCACGGGTCAGAAGCCAGGAGGTTGACGTTGAGGTCAGTGGGATGGGGCTGGCCATTAGGCAGCGGCAGTTCCCCAGGAGAGCTGTGTTGCCATTGGGACAGGGTAGAGAGAATGTCAGCAGAGGGGTGGGTGCTTGCCTTTGGGGAAGGTATTCTAGACGGTGCAGTAGAGGGGCTTGAAGGGGAGGAAAGCGAAGAGAGCTTGGGTTATGGGAAGTACAGTGGTCACATGGAGATGAGATTATGGAAAGACTAGCTGGGTAGAGAAGCTTCTGTCTTGAGATGGTGCTTAATAGGGACCAGGGATAAGAGGCATGGTGGCATTCACAAGCTGGCCAAGAC